TGATCGACACCCTGACTCTGTGTCATACTTAATTACAGACACAATCACTGTCAGACACAGTGACTGACACACCGGCACGCTGTCTGACTGTATTGTAGAGATCAAGGCCGAAGCGCGATGTTCTGTCTCACAGACTCGCTCTGCACGATTCTCACGCCTCCTGACGCGCCGGGCCGGGACCCCTGACCGTTACGCGCAACAGAACCGAGGCAGACCCATCGAGATATTGCCGGTACCGACCAGCCCTCTCCGCTTCCGCGTGATTTTATATTAGTGTCGAACTTCAGAACCGTCTCCAGGAGAAGAGAAAATTGATATTTTAGCTTTAAAATTATCATCAGTATGAAGTCCAAGACCATCTCAAGTACAACATGGGTATTAACTGATGATAACTGATTGAGAATGATGATGGGCGTTTTTTTTTCTCCGGATTCTGATATTTTAAAAATTGCGGATCGTCATTTTGTGACGTAGGCTGACATATTGTCTCAATATGCACCTAGTCTCCACCTTTAAATAAATAAACACTGGCTCTGGCATTGTTCCACCGCACGTGTGGGTCAAGTCATTCTTCCCGGAAAATCCGTATCAGTATTAGCCATGATGTAGATAGGTGATAAATACGCCACAGTTATTACTACTGATAAGAACATTTAAATTAAACGTTTTTGTCAAATGACACGATTTAAATGAGACGTTTTGTGCACGTTTTTGAGACTAATTAATCTGATTTTTTTAAAAAATATCGTCCAGTTTATAATACAACGCCAATTACACTTGATTCAGCACCACATTAAAGGAGCCGAAAGCCACAGATAGACGCTGAAGTCACGGACGCGCGTGAAAAGGCTCATTGACAGAGACAGTTTAATGCTGGCTCGCGCTTCTGAGCGAGGGTTGCTCGCGGCAGCTCGGACAGCTCGCGGCAGCCTCTATTCGCAGCCGTCGGACCTCGAGCCCACTCCCCCGGGGAATCCTCGTGAGGAGAAAGTTCTGGATTTTGAAGTCGAACCGGCAACATTTTCCGCCTTTAGAAGAGCCGAAGCGGACCGGACGGGCGCCCGCGTTCGGACCCGGTTCCTCCCCGGCGTGGCTTTCCAGAGCCGTCATGGGCAACCCCCGACCCCCGACCGCCGACCCCCGACCGCCGTCCAGCCGTCCAGAGCGAGGAGTCAGGCGCGAGTGGCCGTGTTGGGGTGTCAGCGCGGTCTAACGGCAGAAAATGTCGGTTGGCGCCACACGCTCGCGTTTGTCTCCCTTCCAACCTCACAGGTAAAGACAAAAAAAAAAACCCACGCCGCTCACACAGACACCGCGGTCCGAGAGCCCTGGTTGACAGAAGAAGTAAGTTCAGAGAGGAGCCCAGTACCGCCGCTGCCGTCGGTGACAGCTCGGACGTCCTTACCTGCGCCGGGACAGCGCTGCGCAGCGGGTCGGCCCCGGTTTCCACCCGCCGGACTCACTTCTCCGGCTTCCCAGAGTGTTGTTTTTGGCAACCCCCCACCCCCCACCTGCCGGCTGACACTCACCGTTCCCCCCTGCCCTGCCCTGCCCTGCCCGGCCGGCCGGCCCAGCGAGCCAGAGAGAGACGCGCTCCCTCGCTCGCACTCGCACACGGGCTGGCGGGGGCGCGCACACACTCACACTCGCTCTCGCACGCACGCACACCAGGGCAGCCTTCTCGCGGGTGAGGAGCTGCGGCGGCGCGAGCACCCCAAAACGGCACGGGGCAAAGCCCCCCGGGGGGCGGGGGGAAGAAACGTGCGCACTTGGAGCTACTCACTGGGTATCCCCATATCCGAATCGGCATGCTCCTTCAGATGCTCCTCGTCTCGTGGTCCATTGGCCCAGCTATTTCCCATGAGGGGCGACTCGGCTCCTCTCTGGAAGAGTTCTCCGCGCGCTGGCGCTCTCTCGGGACCAGCGTTCGCACCCGACCTCCTGCCGCCTGGAGCACGATGACAGGGAAGGTCCCTAAATCACCACTGTCCACTGCGTGGCTCCGGCGACTGCAGCCTCTTCCTCTTCTTCCTTTCTCCCACTTCTCCCGTCCCACAGGTTTCAGTCGAAATAAGCGACTTTTTAAAATATCCTAGAGAGTTCAAAAGCCCGTTGATGCAATGCCTTTTTTAAAAAAAAAAATATTTGGCTTTTAAGCCAAACAGAAAACTGTTGCTTTCTGTCTTCTTTCTCTGCCTCGCGGGTAACTTCTCTTAATAGTGAGAAAAAGGCACATTAATCTTTTTTTTTAATCAATGCGAAGACAAATACATGCATATATATTTATGAATATAAGCTAATATATATGCACCGGTGCAGAAAACTATGGTAACGCAGTGGAGTCTTTCAAGGTTAATATTTTACTGCGATGTTGCGCCCCCTTCCCCCTTTTTTCTTTTTTTTTTGGACAGCGTGCAAGTTCTCCCTTCCCTCCCTCTCTCTCTCTCCCTCTGCCAGTCGGTCTGCGCTGTCCGCACTCGGGCTGCGCGCCGGCTGGCCGTGTGCTGAGAGCTGCCCGGCGGCCCCGCGCCGCCCTATATCAATCAAGCTGTCCCGGGAGCCTCGGGGGCGGAAGCAGGGCTTTCCTCGAGGATGGAGTTCCAGAGCTGCCCCCGAGGGACACGGCCCGGCGCGTGGAAAAAAAGACCAACGCAACATCCTGCACGTTCGCTGCCGGGAATCTCCCCCGCGAGCCGGACCCCCGCAGGTAACCAGCGAGCAGCCTGGGAGAGGGCGCCTGCCGCTGCCGGCCGTGCTGCTGAGAGCAGCGCCGCGCTAATCGATCGCGACTAATCGGTGACATGGCTTCACAAAGGTGCTCTTCCACTGTCGGAGTTCATTGATCACTCCAGATGTTTCTAGGATTTGTTTTCTGCAGATTCCCGCATTGGAAGCGGGAATACAGACCGAGCCCGGTTAGATTCTAAATGGACTACACAGCCAAGCCCAGTGGCATTAACTTCACATAAAACTGGCGACATCCGATCGCAGCCTGGGAAGCGCGTGTCTTCGCACCCCTCTGCAGGAATGGGTACGTGGACAGCGGAGTCCACAGGGACACTTGAAGGAAACAACCTCGCGGAAGGTCACCCAGAGGGCGAGAGGTCGCATGTCGTGTTTACACAGAACTTTCTTTCTGATGGAGGATTGTTTCAACTCCTGACCCCCCCCACCCCGTCCCCCCTCTTTTCCACCCTCGCCTTTTAAACTCGCAGCGAGAGCAAGGCCGTCACCCGAGAGGCGATTGGCTGGTCGCTACGTCACCGCGGCGGCGATTGGCTGGTCGCGGACGTTCCACGTGAGGACTTGGTGATGTGTGCAGTTCAGACAACCTGAACGTTGTCTACAGCCTCTACCTCCGTGTCTGTTATTCGTTAATCTATCGAATACTGCAAAGGGGAAGCCAATATAAATATTTGTACCCTGTGGCCTACAAGGTTTAATTCATTAGAAATAACATTTACTCTAAAAGTCCTATTGCGCAGCATTAACAGTACAAGACAACATCTTGTTATCATGGGCAATACTAAACTATAGGACATCTCTGTAGGTCTTTCTATAGGATACTGATGTAAGTATCTCCTAGAAGAATATAGTAATTCAGGAATCCAATACATTTCTTATAGGATCCATATAGTAGATAGTATTCACAAATATTAAGGGATCCCTTATAGAACTGTCCTCTTAAACATCCTGTATGTCTTTGAGATATTCTATAAGAGGGTGGCCAGCAGGTTTGATGGGTCACTCCTTAAACCATCGAACCCCCAACACTTGGAACAATTTCGTTTTGGACACTTCAGTGAATCCGTCCATCCAGTTTCTAGATGCTTTGTCCAGCTCAGGGTCATGAGGGTGCCGGAGCCTATCCCAGCAAGCAACGGGCGCAAGGCAGGGCACGCACCATCGCCAGTCTATCGCAGGGGAGACACACAAACATACTCACACCAGGGCCCAGTTTCCCAGCAGCCAGTTAACCTCCCAGTAGGTTTTTGGACTGTGGGAGGAAACCCACGCAAACCCAGGGAGAACATGCAAACTCCACACAGACTGACCTTCGGGTCTGAAATTGAACCAGGGCCTGAGCGCTGTGAGGCAGCAGTGCTCACCACCCCACCACTGTTAACCTGAAGTGGAAATACCAACACCCCGCAGCCCTGAGGGAGCTCGGCTGGCCATTGAGCAGGTTTGATTGCTCAGCTGACGCAAACCCACGTGTCCCACCTTTTACAGATCGATGCTTCAAGGCTGGGCTACCGGACCAGGCAGACTGAGGCTCTCCAGGGCCACAGCAGGCCACCCCTGTTCTATAGCTATCCAAATGGATATCACCCTTATCATATGTTAAAATATGTGAACAAATTTTACATTTTAAAACTTTTTAAATATTACATAGCCAAACAGTTTGGAATAACTAATTGCGTTTAGGTCTCAGGTCACCATGTCACCATAAGGATATCAGAGAGTCACCTTCTCTAAACTCCTTCAAATCCAGACTCAAAACCCTCTTCTTCAGAAATTGTTGTATTGCTGTAATTGTAATTGTAATTGTGTCTTATCTTGTGTATTCTCCTTATTTATTGTTGTATTCTTCTTATTTATTGTTATTGTAACCCTGTAAAGCGCTTTGAGAAGCCACCTTTAAAGGCGCTATATAAAATAAAGTTTATTATTATTATTACCATGTGACCACAAGGGCTGCTCTGACCCGCCGCCCCAATTGAGGGCCAATCACCTCTTGACAGGTCACAAGCTCCACGGCGATGTGCAGGAGGCTCGTCGCTTATTGGAGGTTTGGAAATCTCTGCCCCCCCCCCTCCTCCTGCAGCACCCAGACAATTGAATCCTAGTGACAGGTGGCTGGCAACCAGGGTTCGAGCACAATGAATCACAGAGCCCAGCCTGCATCTGGAACAACCCTTGTAATGGACACTATGACACCTAATCAGTTAATAATGAGCATCATCAGAAATGGAAATCGTTATTTACTTTTGTGACTCGGTATATTCGGTAATATTTTACATCTTTAATGTAAGTTAATAAAGTGAATTGTAATAAAGTTAAGTAAACTAAAGTGAATTGAACTAATAATTTATGATTTACTGAGAATTTTAAAATGTCTTCAGTATCTAGGCTCTTGTCAAGGGCTGTGGAGAGTTCTTCACTCTGCAGTAGTTTAAAAGGTGAAGAAAGCAAATACCTCTGTTTAAAGTACTGTCTTCAGTTTACATCATTTGCCTATGCCGGAAGCAGGCAGACCAACACATAGGTTCTGGAGTGGCTTATTCAATAAAGAGTATGAGTAGGTATGCAGATATTTGCTCCTGCTCCTGCAGGAGGTGCTGATATTCACTCCTGCTCCTGCAGGTGACATTGACATTCTCTCCTGCTCCTGGAGGGGCACTGATATTCACCCCTGCTCCTTGAGGGGCACTGATATTCACCCCTGCTCCTGGAGGGATACTGATATTCACTCTTGGTCCTGGAGGTGCACTGATACTTCTGGTCCTGGAGGTGCACCCTCTCTCCTTGGTTTTCACTTCAGTCTTGACTTGTTTTGAATCAGATGTCTCCTGCTCAACCCCTCCCTGAGGTTAATGAGGAGCCTGTAACACCTGGGGGATTGCGGCTGGGGTGTCCGCGAGTTACTACACCGACAGCAGCCCTGGACGGAGCTCAGCGGCAGGTAAGGGAGACGCATGGGGAGTCTGGGGTCTGTGGCAGGATTGGGGGGAGGTGGGTCTCGATCCCAGAACCAGGCCATCCTGCTTGTCCTGGAGGCTCCCACAATCCCTGGTTTCTGTTCAAGTCGATCATTTACTTCATCAAACCCTTCGCTGACCTGTCAGGAGGAATCTGTGGAATTGTTTTCCGTTCCTAAACAGGATGCGTCCTGACTGTGGTGTTTCAGAAGTGACTTTGGATCTCCAGGGTGCAGTCAAGGCCCTGGTGAGTTCAATGACGTGTGACGTAACCATCTCAGCTGGAACAGGCGTGGGAAGAGTGGTGACTGTACTGCACGCTGTTCTGCCTCAGCCCTGACTGTAGCCTTTCTGACTCAAAGGCTGTGGTGTCCCAAAACCAGAAGGGGGCCTGAATTCTCCCCGGTGGGGTGCCTGTTGTACGGCATGTTGAGATTCCTCCCAGAGGGGTGCCATCTCTGGCTGATTGGGGTTCAGGGGGATTTGTGTGCGTATGTGGGGGCAAAGGGGGTCCCCATGTCATATTAAAGAGGTGTAGGGGCAGGGCTCCCTCTGGTGGCAATGTGAGTTATGAAGAATTCCCTCCTGCTTCCTTCCCAGGAGAGTGCTGGAGAGCTGGCTGCCCTCCGAGAGTCGCCATGGAGGGCCTGGTCAACCCACCAGAGATCCAGGGGTGCAAGGGACAGGCAGCGGGAGGAGGACGGAGAGAGGGATTGAGGAAGACTGAAAGAAAGAGAAGGAGGAGGAGAAAGAAGGAAAGTCCAGGGGTGAACGCTAACCGAAGGGTCAAGAAGGAGAGAGTGTGACCCCGGCACAGACAAAAGGACAGGCAGAAGGAGAGAGGGCCGCGGGTGGGCGAATGTCCTGTCTGGGAGCTCTGTGCTCACCTGCTGGACAGAGGGATCTTCCGACTCCCAGCTCTGCCGCCATGGCCTCCTCTCCCCCCACTCCCCCCCGAAACACTTCCCTTCCTCTTTCCTGTCCTGCTGCACTGTCGGCCAGCCAGTCCGGCCTGGCTCCGACCCAGGGCCCCTCGTCTTTATATAGCCTGGCCCCCTCCAGCGCGCTTGTTTACTGTGCGCTGCTCCGTCTGCCCGCCGGCCGGCCTGCCTGCCTGTCTGTCTACCTGTCATCAGGGCGCTGTGCTCCCCTGGCTCGCCGCAGCCCTGCAGCTGCATAGCCCCACAGCCCC